GAAGAAGGGTCTAGACCCGAAACGTCAGCTTTCCTGCTCCTCTGATGCTGCTTGGCCTGCTGTGTTCATCCAGCTCTCCACCTTGTTACCTCAGATTCTCCAGCATCTGCAGTTCCTACTATCTCTTGAAGTTTATTATGCAAGTTTAAGATAAAAGGCATATAAAGTTACATAGAAAAAAGATAGGAGCAGGGCTAGGATGATTGGCAACTCGAGCCTGCTGTGCCATAGGTGATTATCGAACTTAATGCCCTAATCCCACCCATATCCTTTCATCTCTTCAGCCACAAGAGCTATATCTATTTCCTTCTTGCAAACACATTTTGGCCTCAACTACTTTCTGTGGTAGTAAATTCCACAGGCTCACCACTCTCTGGGAAACGACATTTCTCCTCATCTCATTCCCAAAAGGTTACCCCTTATCCTTAAACTATGACCCGATTCTGGACTCCATCAGGAACATCCTTCCTGCATCTAACCTGTCTTGCCTTGTTAGAATTTTAGCTATGAGATTCCCCTCATTCTTCTAAACCCATTCTCTCTCTCTCTCTCTTTCTCCTTATACATCAGTCCTGCCATCCCAGGAGTCAATTTGGTAAATCTTTGCTGCACTTCCTGTATAGCAAGAGCATCCTTCCTCAGAGACCAAACGTGCGCACAATATTTCAGGTATAGCCTCACCAATGCCCTGTATAATTGTAACAAGACATCCTTGTTCCTGTACTCAAATCCTCTCACTGTGAAGGCCAATATACAGTTTGCTTTCTTTACTGCCTGCTGTACCTGCACACATACTTTCAGTGACTGGTGCATGAGGACACCCAGGTCTCATTGAGCATTCCCCTCCCTCAATTTACAGCTGTTCATATAATAATCTGTCTTCTAATTTTTGCTAGCAAAGTGGATAACCTCACATTTATCCACATAATACTGCATCTGCCTTGCATTTGCCCATTCACTCAGCCTTTTCGCATTTCACTGCAACATCTGTGCATCCTCCCCACAGCTCCCCCTTCCACCCAGCTTTGTGTCACCTACAAATTTTGAGATATTATGTATAGTTCCCTCATCAAAAATAGTGCTAAATTTCTAGAATGGGAGGCTTTTAGAATACAGCAAAGGAGAACTAAAACATTGAGAAGGAAAAGGAAAAGGAAAATATAATAGCAAAAGACATAAATATGGACTGTAAAAGCCTAAGGGTTCATAAAATGGAAACATTTTAAATGCAAGTCAATTACATGCGGAGTCACAAGAATTTTAATGGGAAACAGAAAAGTGGAAGAGAAGCCAAATGATTATTTTGTGTCAATTTACACAAAGGAATAAACAAGCTGTTGCCCAGAATTAAAGATCCAAGTAACGAGAGATTTAAAGGAAATTAGTATTACTAAGAAGATTATACTGGAGAAATTAATGGGCTGAAAGTTGATAGCTACCCAGAACCTGACAGTCTACATCCCAGAGCTTTGAAGGAAGTGGCTACAGAGATAGTCAATGCACTGGTGATTATCTTCCAAAATTCTAAATATTCTGGAATGGTGCCTGCAGATTGGAAGCTAGCAGATGTCATTCCTCTATTTAAGAAAGGAGCAAAAGAGAAAACAGGGAACTACAGGCTTGTTTGCCTTATATCAGTAGTAGGCAAAATGTTAGAATCTATTGTAAAGGGTATGATGAATGGGCACTTAGGTAATAGTAATCTGATTGGGCATGTCAGAATGGATTTGTAAATGGGAAATCATGTTTAACAAATTTGTTGGTGTTTTTTGATGATATTACTAACAAAATTGATAAAAGGAAACTGATGGATGTAGTATGCTTGGATGTTCAAAAGGCTTTTGATAAGGACTCACAGGGGGTTGCTTAGCAAAATTAAAGCTCATGAGATAGGAGGTAATGTCTTGGCATGGATTAAGGACTGGCTAACAGGCAGAAAACAAAGCAGAGGAATGAATGGGTTATTTCACATTGACAGGCTGTAACTAGTGGGATATCACAAGATCAGTACTAGGGCTCCAGCTGTACACAATATGTATGTAAATGATTTGGGTATGAGAACTAAATGTAATAGTTCCAAATTTGCAGACATTATCCATGATAAAAATGTTTATAGGGATAGTGTGGGTAAAGGACAATATAAAATTTGAGTAGCGATGATCGTATTAAATGATGGAGCAGGCTCAATCGGCTGAATGGCCTACCTCTGTGGCTACGTATGTCAGATGGGGCTATTTTTGCCGATTTCCTTCTTGTTCAAATCATCCCTCCTGCTGCTGACTCTGTGGACGCTGCAAATGGCTCAGTTCTCACCACCCTATCCACATTGCCCTCCAGGATATTCATTCACTTGTAGCCCTGGCCATCCGTAAGGATATTGTGAAGGATCGCATCGGCATCATGGTCTTGATGGAATGTGGCTGTAAGGATGCCATTTTCTCCCTTAATGAAGTCTCATGTCTGGCTATACATTCTACCACTTGTCTCATCAAGAACATTGCAGTGCAGGTGTGGTGCTCATCATCAGATTACACCTTGACCTGGCCCTTCACTACTTTGGAACCTACACCTACTTTGCGCATCTCACTTTGTTCCACCCCTCTCAGACAACACAGTGTGGAGCTGGAGGAACACAGCAGGCCATGCAGCATCAAAAGAGCAGGAAAGTTGACTTTTTGGGTTGGGACCCTTCTTCAGGAGAAGGATCCCGACCCGAAACATCAACTTTCCTGCTCCTCTGATGCTCTGGCCTGCTGTGTTCCTCCAGCTCCACACTGTGTTGTCTCTGACTCCAGCATCTGCAGTCTTACTATCTCCACTGCTCATTTAAAATCCTCATTGTGAACTATCCACCCAAGTACAATAAACATTTCCCTAATTTACCTGACTTTTGGACACAGATTGACAGAAAAAGAGGTTTCTTTGCTGAACAAGAATCACTACTTATTACTCATAATTAGACTCTAGCTACTGGTAACAGTTAAAAGCCACTGTCATATAATATTATCAACCAACATTCTAATCCCCTTATAAATTTCCTCTTACATGCACAGACAAGCAAACAGGGAAATTAATTATTGGATAGAGGGGGAAAATGGGAAAGATAATTCAGTAGTTTTGCTCCCAGGTCATGTTGTTCAGATGATCCTTATGACTCTTCTCTTGGCTAGCACGAGGTTTCAATCATCTTTCTCCAGATGCTTCCACTGGTTGTAAACAACACAAGACGGGCTGGTTCATTTATAAAACGTCTCTGAATTATCAGGTAAAACAATTGTTTAGGAAGGTAAACCTGTTTTCTGTAGGTTTATAGTGAGTTTCGACAGCAGAGACACTGCTCAAAAAATAGTAAATACTTCTCTCTCGATAATTCATTCCCAATGCCAAGCTGTTAAGTTACCTGAGAACCAATCACACAATGTTGGCAGGCAAATAGCTCTCTGTCATTGATAGTTGGTCACTACTCCATAGACCAATCAACTTTTTATTGCATGCACTGGAGTGCTGCTTTGTTGCATTAGAGTGAAACTGGAATTTGATGAAACAGGGAGTTAGGTGAAAAAGGAAGGTGATCAGTACCTCCTTTTCACTCATTGGTGAGTACTTCTGCTCTTTTATATAAAAATAAGGCCTTAAGGAATTAGGGACATAAGGGGGAAAGAGTGGCTATAAGAAACTCTTGCAGTACAGACCACCAGAAGTCAGAGAGAGACAGAATCTAGCAAGAAGCTTCTGAGCAGAGCAGTGGGAATACTTTCAATGGACCAGCCCAGTGTTACTTTTACTCAATACAGAAGCAGAGCTCCCAAGGTGATGTCAAAAGAGACATGGACCAAGTGGAAGCTGCTGATTGGGTGAGTAAGGGCAGCGAGTATTTGTACTACTGTTAATACTTATTGTTTGTAAAGTTTTTTTATGGTTTATAGTTTAAAAGGGCTATATTTTGTTTTACCAAGTGAATAAAGGCCCCAAAGTAATTGATGTAGATCATGGCAGGAGAGCTCAAAGCCATGGTTTGCTCCTCCTGGACTACGTGGGAAGCTGGGCACATTTACAATGCCTGGGGCCAGCACGTGTGCAGGAAGTGTCACCAGCTGCAGTTCCTGGAGGCCTGGGTTTTGAAGCAACGACTGGGTACATTATGGAACAAACGTGAAGCTGAGAATATTGCAGATAGCACGTACTGAGAACTGTTCACACTGCTGGCAAAAACTCCACAGGCAGAAAGGGAATGGGTGTCCACCAGAAGAGAATGAAAACCATGCCAGACTTGTGGCTGTTCCACTTAAAGCAGACATACCACTTTGGATAGTGTTGGGGACAGAGAGGGAATGACTTCTCAGGGGAAACCAAAACAGCCAAATTAATTGTACCACGGTTGGCTCTAATAAACAGGAGAGGAGGAGAAAGTGTAGGAATACAAGTCATCAGGGTTTCAACTGTAAAGGGAATAGGTAGGCATTTTTGTGGCCGCAAACAAGATTCCAGGATAGTATGTTGCCTCCCTGATGCTACCGTCAAGAATGGAGCATCTGCAGGACATCTTGGAGGGGGAGGGTGAACAGGCAGTTGTCATGGTACAGTCCCTCCATGGCCTCACCCCTCCCTAATTGTGTATTCTCCTCCATACCCCTTTACTAGCAATCTTTCCTACATGACAGCTGTGACTGCATTTCAAAAGTACTTCAGTAAAAAGGTCTGTCAAGGACTTCAAGAGGTTTCTGGTGCTCATGAAAGGCAAAGTGTCTGTCTTTCCATTTGCACTCATCTAATTCTGGTCTCGAGAATTCCCTGTTTTAATTGTTCCACTATTGGTGACTGTGCCTTAAGTTCTTGAATGCTGTCCCTAAACCTCTCCGCCCGTCTCTCCTCACTTCTTTAAACACTCCCCAATATCTAACTCTTTGACAAAGCTTTTAGCTATCTATCAGAATAATACGTGACACTATCAAATTTTACTTTGTAGTGCTCCTGTCAATTTCCAATGAACATTTTACATCTCATTTTATATCCAGAAGGGCAATTGCACAGAACCAAACGGCTTTTCCCACGTCTAAAACACCTGTGGCAATTTTCGTCTATTAACCACCACCATTAAATCACACGTTTTCCAATTGATCAATTTACCTGCTGTGAAATTTATTTTTCTTTTTCATATCCAGACGTACTCTCACACACAACTGAACTTTTCTTTCCTCCATTGTAAAATCACCCGTGGTATTTTTCATCTATTAACCACCACCAATAAATCACCCACATTTCCCAATTGATTAATTTGCATTCAAAGCCTGTTAAGGGCAATGAAGACCATCAAAGGGGAGGGACAGGAAGGGGAATTGGAAGGGAATTAACATTTTGTTATGTTAATGTCCATCTATTAAACACGTGCTGTTGCTGTTCTTGCCCTTTAGACTGTGGAATCCTCACACGGAATTAACACTTACATTTTAAGAGTCGTACTTACAAAATAAAGCACAAATTATACAGATTCATAGAAATCTTACAGAATGCAAGACAACATGTTGGCCCCTGTACTGCTGTCAACTCTTTGAAAGAGATATCCAATTAGTAACACTCCCACTTTGTGAGCACAATCCAGAAATGTCTTACTTTTTAAATATATTTTAAATCTCTTTTGCAAATTTTTAGAGTCTGCTTCCATGCTTTCTCCAGGAAGTACACTGAAGATCACAGCTTACGTAAAAAAAAACTCACCTTTTTACTACTTTTACCAATGATTTTAAATCTACATTCTCTAGTTACTAACACTATCGGCAGAAAGAGTTTCTCCACATGTGCTTCTTTAAAACGCCTCCGGTTTGACCACCTGTATCAATTCTCCCTAAACCTTCTATGCTTGAAACAGAACAATCCTAGTTTCCATAGTCTCTCCACAAACTAAATTGTAATATTGCTCAGCATAGTTATACATTTTCCTTACCTTGTCAAATCCTTTCAAGCCACCGTGCAAACTGTTAGGCCCATTATTAATAGGCAGCTGATATTCCTTTTCATCAATACTAAATTTCCCTTCGGCAATTCGATTTGCAACACGACCAACGACTGCCCCAAAGTATGGATGTTTGTTAATATAACCTGTAAGCATAATTTAAACAAGTTATCATCAGGGAGAGAGGGATTTTGACTTTTAATAATTTGATGTATTTTACAAATTACATTGACACTGAATCCAATGTTGTTCCTCCTCTCTAAAGCTGTTACTTTTTTCAAAATGCCTTTTGGAATGAGCAATAACAACCCAAGTTTATATAGCATTTTTAATGTAATCAGACATCTAAGTGTCTCTCAGGAGCATTGTAAACAAAACAGGACAATAAGTCAAATAAGGAGGCAATGGGCCAGATCATCTTAACATTATATTCCGTCTGCCAAGTTTTTGCTCATAAGCTCAACCTGACCATATCCCTTTGCAGACTCTGTGTTATCCTCAGCACTTGCTTTCCTAGCTATTTTGTCATCCACAAACTTGTTAATAGTTCATCCACATCATAGGTCATAAATAATTGTGGCCCCAGTGCTGATCCTCGTGGCAAAGTGCTGGTAAAAGATAGTCATTGTGAAATGCCCCCCTTATCCCAACTCTGTCTTCTATTGATAAATTATCTGCTAAAACACTACCTCCAAAACCATGGGATCTTATCTTATTAAGAAACCTAATTTGTGGTACATTATCAAATGTCTTCTAAAAATCCAAATAAATTACATCCACTGTTTCATCTATATCTATCCTGCTTGTTAACTATTTAAAGAATTCTAGTAAATTTGTCACGCACAATTTCCCTGTCATGAAACCATACTGACTCTGATTGATCATATTATGTATTTGTAAATGCTATACTATTACATATTTTGAAAAGATTCTTAACATTTTGCCTATAATGAATGTCAAAGTAACTGGCCTTTGTTACCTTTATTTTGGTTTCATTCCCTTTTTCAATAAAGGTGTTACATTGCAGAGGATTGGAAAACTGCCAATCTTCCCAGAATCTAACTGCACTCATTCGAGTGCAAATGACAATAGAGACTATTCTATTCTACTAGTGTATCCACTATCTCTGTAGCTACTTCCTTTAATATCCTAGGACACATCCAAACAGAACCATGGCTCTAATGAATCTTTAGCCCCTTTAGTTTCCGTACCATTTTTTCCTCTAGTAACAGTTTCATAAATTTCATAGAATCCCTACAATGTGGAAACAAGCACTTCAGCCCAACAAGTCCACAATGACCCATCCTCCTATAACCCACCTAATCTACACATCCCTGAACACTATGGGCAATTTAGCATGGCCAATCCACCTAGCCTGCACATCTTTGGACTGTGGGAGAAAACCGGAGCACCCGGAGCAACCACACACAGACACAGGGAGAACATGCAAACTCCACATAGACAGTCGCCCAAGGGTAAAATCAAACCTGGGTTCCTGGCGCTGTGAGGCAGCAGCGCTAACCACTGATCCACCATGCTACCCTTGTTGTTGTATTTATTTCATTTCTTCTTATCTCTCAAATATTTAGTAATTTTAGAATGCTCTTAACATCTTCTACTGTGAAGACTGAATCGAAGTATTTATTCAATGCCTCCACATTTCCTGGCCCCCCCATTATTTCCTGAGCCTCATTCTCAATGGGGGCCTATGTTTATTTTGGCTTCTCTCTTCCTTTTTACTTATTTGAAGAAATTCTTGATGTTACTTGCAAGTTTAATCTCAAAGTTTATATTCTTCCACTTAATTGATTTGTGGTCAGCTTTTGTGAACTTTCCCAGTCCTCTGCTTACCATTAACTTTTGTCACATTGAAAGGAAAAATGCACAATCTGATGCTTGTTAACGCACTGATTATCCACAGTCAGTTTATCCCCTTCTTAGAATACTTCTTCCTCACTGGAATATGTATTTGACTTGAGCTACGAACTATTTTCTTAAACATCTGCCAGTGTCCATCCTCAACCATTTTTTGCTACTAAACTCCTTTCCCAGTTCACTCCAGTCAGCTCTACCCTCATTCCTTTGCAATTACCCTTCTTTAAGCCTAGTACAGTTGCTTCTAGCCTAAGTTCCTTGCTCCCAACTGGTTGCTAAATTCCACAATGTTATGGTCACTGCTTCCAAGTTAGAGTAAAAGATCTACATCATTTACTAAACCTGCCTCATATACATCACCAGATCCAAAATAGCCTCATACCTTGTTGGATCCACAAGATATTGTTCCAGGAAACTGTGCTGAACACTCTCTGAATTCTTCCTCATGACTTCCTCTGCCAATCTGACTTTTCCAATCTACACGAAGGTTAAAGTCACCCATGATTAATGTTCTGCCTTTGTTATATACCCTCATTTTCTCCTGATTTATTCTCTGTCCCACCAGATAGCTACTGTTACAGAGCCTATGGCTTACCTCTCTACCAGTATCTTCTTTCCCTTTTCATTTCTTACCTCTACCCGTACAGCTTCTATGACTTACAATCCAAAATCATTCCTTGCTATTATATTTGTTCCATCCCATATTAACAATGCTACCCACCAGTCCATTTCCTTCCCATGTGTCCTTTTGAAAAGTCACATTCTCCCAAATATTTACTTCCCATCTTTGATCTCCTTCTAACCATGTCTCCATAATGGCTACACAGTCATACTTGTTAACCTGTACTTGTGAACCTTTATGTACCCTCTGCCAGTTTGCCCATGGCTCAGGTAATAATCCAGAGATTACTGCCTCAGGAGGTTCAGGTTTCTAATTTAGCTTCCAACTATTCAAAGTCTTTTTGCAAAACCTCTTTTGCAGTCCCACCCGTGTCACTGTACCAATGTGGATGATGACTATTGGATCCCTTCCCTCTCCAAATTTTCCTTCACCGTGAAGGCACCGTACAGGCAACACGGCCTTTGGGTTTCTTGCTTACTGCTGCGGAGGACAGTAAATTTATTCCCCAGTGATATTATTCCCTACCACAACTACATTCTTATTTCCTTCCCCCACTTGAACCAAGCTGCCATGGTCAATTCTCTCAACCTCCCTGCAGTCCCCACTCTTGTCTGGATAACTTGCAAGAGCCTCCAAACCTAACTGTGTCAAGTTAAGGACACATTTTTAAAGGTCAGAGGAGAAAGATTTAAAAAAGACATGAGGGACAATTTTTTTTTACCCAGTGGTTCATGTGTGGAATGAGCTTTCACAGGAAGTGGTGGGTGCAGGTACAGTTATACTTAAAATATATTTGCATAAGTACATGAATAAGAAATGTTTGGAGGGATATGGGCCAAGCACAGGTAGTTGAGACTAATTTAGTTTGGAATTACGGTTGGCATGGACTGGTTGGACCGAAGGGTCTATTTCCATGCTGTTTGACTCTAGAGCTTTGACTCTATGTTGGATAAAGAGATCAGAAAAAATCTGCGAGAACTGGGGATGGTGGGAAACAAAAACAGAAACTGCTTCTAGAAGGGTCACTGGATAGGAAATGTTAACTCTGATCTCTCTCCACAGATGTTGCCAGGGCTGCTGAGTTTTTCCAGCAATTTCTGTTTTAGTTTCAGAAGCTCAGAGAGTCGTAAAGAGCTTAAAAATGGGAAATTGTTCACAAGTAGACTTTTTTTTTCAAATAAACACACGAAGGTCCAGTTTGTTTTGCCTCAGGAACAGTGATAAAACTATCCATTCCTGGGGAGCTGGTGTCTAGGAGTGTGAAGGCCTTGCGGTCAGTCGGTACGAGTCTGCCAACCCACCTTGCAAGTGGTCGAAGCCCAGGACGATGTCTGCCAGTTCTCCGTGCCGGTCCCTGGTCTCCAGGCTGGTTATAATGCCTCCGAAGCTCAGCACCGATAGCCTCACTGAGTCGGAGCGCAGCGTGAACCGACGCACCAGCCTCCCGTCCGGCAGTGTCCCGAACACATCGCTACTGACCACGGACATGGTCTGGGCGGCGGCACGGTGTTTCTCCCTTTGGTCACTCAGCAAACTCGGAGCCGGCGTCCGATCCACTAGGCCTTCCCTCTCCCTGTTCTCCACTTCCGTGAGCAGATGTGGCAACTCCCGACTTAGTTCGTAAACAAAAAGTTCGTTCGTGATTTTGCAAATTCCAGTTTTCTGTTCTGCTTCACGCTTTTTACCATTTTGTTATTAATTCTCGACATAAAATGTACGGCGGGATCAGCCGTGCTGCTTGCACTCCAAAACCAGATCCAGCTACGACTGTTTATCATTGGGCTTCTACTTCCTAGATAATCTGGGAAGGCAGAGTCTACCTGCAAAAGGATTACATATATCCATTAATTTATTATGAAGATTGTTCACTAAGTCTTCCATTTATTGCTGCTCCTCCTAAGTGTCCACGTGCCATGACCATATTAAGTAGTTGTGAAAGAGTAAACTCAGCATGTTGATATAATGGGTAGATTAAGTGAATGGTAATGCCATGGCACGTCAAGGGACAACGATGGGATTCTCACTTGTTGGAGAAGGTCATTGTCTAGAACTTGGGTGGTGTGAATATTATAGCCATAGAGGTCCATAGCACAGAGAAAAAACGTACTTCAGCCCATTACTTGCTACGCATCAACTCAATCGTAAATGTTGCCCAGGTCTTTCATCATATGCCATGAGGACATGCAAATTATACTCATCATTGTGGAGTCATCAGCAGCTTCTGATCTTATGATGGAATGAAGATTATTGTTGAAACAGCTAAAGTTGGTTGGATCTAAGGACACTACCCTGAGAAATTCATGCAGTGATGTCCTTGGATTAAGATGAAAGACCTCACAAAAATCACAACCATATTCCTTTGTGACAGGTATGACTGCAACCAATGGAGTGTCTGTGCCTGGGATTCCAGTTTTGTTGGATGTCTTTGATACTGTAGTCAATCAAAGTCTGTCTCGATGTAAAAGGCAGTCATCTCACTTCTGGAATTCAGCTTTATTGTCCATGTTTGTACCAAGGTTGTAATGAGGTCAGGAGCTGAGAGGCCCCGGCTAATTAATCCAAACTGAGCATTTGTGATGAGATTATCACCAAGCAAGTGTCACTCGGTAGCAATGTCGACAACACTTTCCATCGCTTTGCTGATGATCAAGAGCAGACTGATGGACCATTAATTGGCTGGATTGAATTTGTTCTGCCTTTTGTGGAGAGGACATACCAATACAAATCTCCACATTGCCACCTAAATGCCAGTCTTGTAGCTGTACCAGAACAGCTTGGCTTCAGTACTTTGCTGGAATGTTCTCAAGCCCCATAGCCTTTGCCATACCCAATGCTTTTCCATTTCTTGCTATCACATGGAGTGAATTGAGTTGATTGAAGACTGGCACCTGTGTTGCTGGGGGCCACAGGAGAAGGCTGAGATAGATTGTCCACTAGGCATTTTTGGCTGAAGTTGGTTGCAACTTTAACTGCTGAATTGAGAAAGTCGTGTCGACTGTTGATCTGCCAGCCCTGAAAGCCTACTGAGACACAGGGAGATGTGTGATGCTGGGTCTGCAATCTGGTCACAGCAACGCATGCAAAGAGCTTCCCAACTGTACTTAAAGAGATAACGTCTCGGCAATTGTTGCAGTCACTGATTCCTTTTGATTTTGTATACATGATGACTATTTTGCATCACACAGGTCTTCCAGCTGAGAGACAAAAGTTCAGGGACGTCTTACAGCTGACGGTTTTCCAATTTTGTTCATTTCAGTTTGAATTCCAACATTTTCTGGGCCGTTATCACTAACAATGGTAAAGGGTTGGACTCTATTGTGGTGGGCTCACTGTCCAGCTTGTCCTTGACAGTGAAGTGTGGAATGGCACTGAGAGCTTCTTCAATGAAAGTGTTCCCTATCATGTAGAGTTCAACCTAGTGCTTCACCTGCCTTTTCATTTGTCTGCTCGATTTAGTAATGATCCTCCCTATCTTTATCCTCAAGTGGACTGATTTAGTAGCTGCTGAACCTGTTGCTTTCTTGACTCCTTCATACATCTCTCTAGCATCCCTGATCTAGCGGCAGATCATGTCCTGTTGCAGAGTTTTAAACAATGCTGATTTGGCTCAGTAAGCAAACACCGAAAGAACTGCAGATGCTGGAAATCAGAAACAAAAACAGAAATTGCTGGAAAATCTCAGCAGGTCTGGCAGCATCTGTGGAGAGAAATCAGAGTTACCGTTGTGGGTCCAGTGACTCTTCCTCAGAACTGATGGCAGTTAGGAAAATGTTGGTTTTTATGCAGAAGATAGAGTGGGAAAGGAGGTAAGATGTAAATGATAGGTGGAGATAGAGCCCAAAGAGAGAACATGACAGTTGAGGTGGATAACAATCAGGCTAGGAGGGTGAATAGCTGCTAATGGGGATTGTTAGTGGCTAACAATGGGATGTGTGTAACAGCAGACCATATGTGATAACAAGGCCTGGAGTGTAGGGGTTGGGGTAAGGACATGGGAGAAAGTGCCTCAAGCTCTAAGATTATTGAACCTGATATTGAATCCTGAAGGCTGTTGAGTTCCCATGCAGAAAATGAGGTGCTAGACCTCTTGCCCACACTGTACTGCATAAAAACCAACATTTTCCTGACTGCCATCAGTTCTGAGGAGGGGTCACTGGACCCAAAACGTTAAGTCTGATTAAGTCTCCTACCTACTAACCTCATCCCGCCCCCTTGACCTGTCCGTCCTCCCTGGACTGACCTATCCCCTCCCTAACTCCCCACCTACACTCACCTTTACTGTCTCCATCCCCGCCTCTTCGACCTGTCTGTTTCCTCTCCACCTATCTTCTCCTCTATCCATCTTCTATCCGCCTCCCCCTCTCTCCTTATTTATTTCAGAACCCCCTTCCCCTCCCCCATTTCTGATGAAGGGTCTAGGCCCGAAACGTCAGCCTTTCTGCTCCTATGATGCTGCTTGGCCTGCTGTGTTCATCCAGCCCTGCACCTTGTTGTCTCGCATTTTCCTAACTGCCATCAGTTCTGAGGAAGGGTCACTGGACCCAAAACGTTAAGTCTGATTTCTCTCCACAGATGCTGCCAGACCTGCTGAGATTTTCCAGCAATTTCTGTTCTTGTTTCTGATTGGCTCAGTGCTGTGCAATCTGCTGAGATGTGACTTTGAAAGCATCTAGATTTTGTTTGCTGGGGACCTACTTGTAGATTATGACGACTCTCATCTTGGTTTCAGTCGCTGGCTCCATTTCCATCCAATCAATCGCATACCATTCCGCTGTGAGTGCAGCCTTCTCGATGCTATTGAGTGCAGATGATCCCACTTTGCACTGCATCTTGACCTTGGGTATAGTTATCCAAAAGAGCTTTATCAATTTTCTCGAGCAACATCTGGGGCTTCTGTGCAACAGCACAACTTGTAGCATAACCTGGTTCGGAAGTAGCTGTTTGACACCAAGTCCCTGTTAACAGTGTATCACTCATTATGCAAATTGCTCAGTGCATTATGCATGTTGGTCAAGCTGTGTAATATGCAGCCAACCTTGTATTGAGGTCTCCAAGAAGGTGCAGTTCCTCAATGCAGGGAAGTCTGCTCATGGCAACATCAAATAGCTCATATATTGATCCTTGATATCTGAAATGGAGTTGAATGTTGGGACCTTGCTGTACATGAGGTTGACCAGCAAATAAGTTTCTCTCCATTTTCTATGGGGAGGCTTCAATCTTAAGTGGAGTTTTTTTTTGGTGTGATATCCGCACCATTCTCACACACTGCCTCTGGGGTTTTCTCCTGTCAGAAAAAAACATGGATTTCTTTCCAAGAGATTCACTTTGAGTGAACCCCTTTTTTACTGCCCACCTATAACCATATAGAGCTCTGTAAGTTCTTTATCGCTCACAAGTGTGTATCAATCTGCAGAAGGTCACCAATAAGGCCAAAACACCTGTCTTTACATTCCAATTTGCAATACAAAAGACTGGTTAGTTTTTTTTAGCTGAATTTGTTTGCTCTGTGCATAGACTATTGATCAGCCTGTTGAGAGATAACTCTCTAAACTTCATATATAGAAGCAAGCAGACTTCAGCAAGAGGGCACTTAACTGACTGAAGACTGCCCAGCTTGAGGAAGACAGTAACTATCCATTCAATGCAATGACCTTGTGCTTGACACCAATCAAGTGAGCTTATAACTCATATATTGCTTCCATTGTTGGGTTGACAGAAATATGATATTGAGGGAATTGAAAGCAGACATTGTGAGAGCACAGGCTATAAATTCCCAATTTTCCATCAATACAGGGGTGATGCCAGAGGACTGGAAAATTAAACCCTTGTTCAAAAACACAGCAAATCCAGGCCAGTTAAACCTCTGTGGGAACACTTATAAAAAGTATAACTGGAGACAAACTTACTGGGACAAACGTGGATTATTAAGGAAAGCCAGCCCAAATTCAATGGTAAATTATGTTTGATTAATTTGATTGAGTTTTTTGTGAGGTGTAACTGAGGATTTTTTTAATGATCCCTTTTAAAGTCAGATTACTTCTTTAAAGAAATTTTAACTTTCAACAAAGGAATGACAAAACAAGATTTTAAGTGTTAAAACTTACTGTAACAAATGATTAAAAACATAATTGACTGAACATTTTTTGGAAGGACCCTATGCAGTACAGAGCAGGTTTTCTTTTGTATACTGATATCACGTTCAGACAATTACTATCTTTAAAACAAACAGTTCACAGTGCTCCCACCTTCCAGTGAATTTCTATATCCCTGCTTAACCAAGTAGTAATTCTGAGTTGCATTTTCCTCAAATTTTGGAGAGTTGCTTAAATCCAGCAACAGCAGACCGGGCTATTCTGATTCCTATTCCCCCAACCATGCCAGAACAAAATCTCTTGGAATCTGTAGAAGGCTGCTAAATGCACCTGAGATAACAAGGTGTACAGCTGGATGAACACAGCAGGCCAAGCAGCATCATACGAGGAGGAAGGGGCTGACGTTTCAGGCCTAGACCCTTCATCAGAAATGGGGGAGGGGAAGGGGGTTCTGAAATAAATAGGGAGAGAGGGGGAGGCAGATAGAAGATGGATAGAGGAGAAGGTAGGTGGAGAGGAAACAGACAGGTAAAAGAGGCGGGGATGGAGCCAGTAAAGGTGAGTGTAGGCGGGAAGGTAGGGAGGAGATTGGTCAGTCCAGGGAGGACGGACAGGTCAAGGGAGCGGGATGAGGTTAGTAGGTAGGGAATGGTGGTGCGGCTTGAGGTGGGAGGACGGGATAGGTGGGAGGAAGGACAGGTTAGGGAGGCGGGGATGAGCTGGGCTGGTTTTGGGATGCGGTAGGGGGAGGGGAGATTTTGAAGCTTGTGAAATCCACATTGATACCGTTGGGCTGCAGGGTTCCCAAGCGGAATATGAGTTGCTGTTCCTGCAACCTTCGGGTGGCATCGTTGTGGCACTGCAGGAGGCCCAGGATGGACATGTCGTCTGAGGAATGGGAGGGGGAGTTGAAATGGTTCGCGACTGGGAGGTGCAGTTGTTTATTGCAAACTGAGCGTAGGTGTTCTGCAAAGTGGTCCCCGAGCCTCCGCTTGCTTTCCCCGATGTAGAGGAGGCCACAACGGGTACAGCGGATGCAGTACACCACATTAGCAGATGTGCAGGTGAACATCTGCTTGATGTGGAAAGTCTTCTTGATGCCTGGGATGGGGGTGAGGGAGGAGGTGTGGGGGCAGATGTAGCACTTCCTGCGGTTGCAGGGAAAAGTGCCGGGTGTGGTGGGGCTGGAGGGGAGTGTGGAGCGGACAAGGGAGTCACGGAGAGAGTGGTCCCTCCAGAAGGCAGATAAGGGTGGGGAGGGAAAAATGTCTTTAGTGGTGGGGTCGGATTGCAGATGGCGGAAGTGTTGGAGGATGATGCGTTGGATCCGGAGGTTGGTGGAGTGGTATGTGAGGACGAGGGAGATTCTTTTTTGGTTGTTATTGCGGAGATGGGGTGTGAGGGATGAGTTGCGGGAAATGCGGGAGACACGGTCGAGGGCGTTCTCGACCACTGAGTGGGGGGGATGTTGCGGTCCTTGAAAAACGAGGACATCTGAGATGTACGGGAGTGGAATGCCTGATCCTGGGAGCAGATGCGGCAGAGGCGAAGGAATTGGGAATAGGGGATGGCATTTTTGCAGGAAGGTGGGTGGGAGGAGGTGTATTCCAGGTAGCTGTGGGAGTCGGTGGGCTTGAAATGGATATCGGTTTCTAGGTGGTTGCCCGAGATGGAGACAGTGAGGTTCAGGAAGGTGAGAGAGGTGTTAGAGATGGTCCAGGTGAACTTAAGGTTGGGGTGGAAGGCGTTGGTGAAGTGGATGAACTGTTCGAGCTCCTTGTGGGAGCACGAGGCAGCGCCGATACATTCATCAATGTAACGGAGGAAGAGGTGGGGTTTAGGGCCAGTGTAGGTACGGAAGAGGGATTGTTCCACGTAACCTACAAAGAGGCAGGCATAGCTTGGGCCCATGCGGGTACCCATGGCCACCCCCTTTGTCTGTAGGAAGTGGGAAGGATTGAAAGAGAAGTTGTTGAGGGTGAGGACGAGTTCAGCTAAGCGGATGAGGGTGTCAGTGGAGGGGACTGGTCGGGCCTGCAGGACAGGAAGAAGCGGAGGGCCTTTAGGCCATCTGTATGGGGAATGCAGGTGTATAGGGACTGGACGTCCATGGTAAAGAAGAGGTGTTGGGGACTGGGCAATTGGAAGTTCTGGAGGAGGTGGAGGGCGTGGGTGGTGTCACGGACGTAGCTAGGGAGTTCCTGGACCAAGAGGGAGAAAATGGAGTCGAGATAGGTGGAGATAAGTTCAGTGGGGCAGGAGCAGGCGGAGACAATGGGTCAACCAGGGCAGTCAGGTTTGTGGATTTTGGGAAGG